AATTACTTTAACATTAAAATTAAAATTATTAAACGATCAAAACAGAAAATCTAATTTAACAATTTTTTGTTTTAGATTAATTATATTATTTCAAAATATTATTTCTTTAGTAATATATAAAAAAAAATTGAAAAAGCCATACTGTTATGGAAAGAAGTAGTTATGGTTGAGAAGCAATAACGAGAAACAAGAGACATTAGAAACAATTCTGTAACTCCCACACTAATAGGTACCATATAAAATGGGATGTTAAAAATATGTTTATTCAAAACTCTCACATTCCACTCAGTATCTTCTTTTAAAATATTTCCTGATTCAAATGCTTTAAAAAAGTCCTCAAGGAATCAAAAGCAGATATTAATGACTGTTTTTATTTGTATTAATATTATATTAAAAAGCTTTATAAAATATCACCAAGTCAGGATTTTCATGCAATTAAATTTGCTAAAATATGTCATTAACCAACTTAGATATGAAAACAAAAATTATTTATAATTGATCGAAAAAAAATTGTTTAAAATCATAATCACAAGTATTATGTTAAACAAAAAAATTATTTTATTTTTGTGGGGATACCTAATTAATGTTAATTAAATAACTTAAAATTGTATAAATTGGATTATTACATTAAACGTATGACTTCCTTTATTAGGTTTTATTTTTGTAAAATCTTCAACTTTTCACTGATATCTAATAATTATATATTACTATTCTTATTTCTATTGGAAATTAATTTTCAACCTGAGGAAATGTTGGTCTGCCAAATAATTTTTATGAGAATAATGAATTTAATAAAAATTGTTTAATTTTATATATATATATATATAGTAGGTAAGTTGATTTTAGCAAAATTGTTGCATAAGTATAGCTCTATTTCATATTACATATTTTTAACATTATTAAGTACTACTCTTCGAAGTAAAGTCCATTGTTTTCAACTACTTTCATCCATCTTTCTATCAGTAATTGGATTTCATGTCAGTAACACTCTTTTGGTTTTTGATGTAAAAAACTCTTCATATTCAATTTTTACGTGGTCGTAATTATCAGAGATCCAACCTTTTTAAAAATTGAGCCATTGATCTAAACAAACCATAATCTGGTGGTGTAGTATCTGGATTATAGGCAGGATGTGGCAAAACATTTAATGCTTGCAGTTCCAATCATTTTTCCCAGGTCAAACGAGAACAATGTGCAGGAATAGTGCAATAGCTGCAAAATGGGTTGGTTCCTGTTGACAAAAAAGTAGTACTTTACACTCAAAACTGTATAAACTCTGTCTAGCTGTACACAGTAAAAGTTTGAGTCCATTGCCCAGCCATTAAGAACAAGCTCAATATGCAAAATGCCTTCGAAGTTCCACCAAACACCAAGCATCACTTTTTTCTCAAACTAATTTTGGTGAATCTCCAGTTATCTTCACTTGGTCTTACCCATTGAATATATTTGCTAGGATTTTTAAAAAATATCTATATTTCGTCATTTGTGCTAATTTTTTTCCAGAACCTATGATGTTTCAGATTTTGAAGCAAAATTTTGGTAATATCAACTCACTGGGGTTGAGCCTCTGTCACGTCATATTGGACTCAAATTCCATATGTTTTGTTTTTAAAATATAGCCACTGTGGATTTAGAAGTCCCTATCATGGCTGATAAATCATGAGTAGTTGCATGTGTATGCTGGTTCACATATTCAAGAAAAACGTCATCATCAACAACCGATGGGTGACCTGATCTGGGTTGATCTGCAAGAAACATATTCCCATTGTTAAAACGCCTGAACCAAAGTGCTGCAGTATTTTGATGGCTAACTCTCCTTCTACAGCACAAATTTCCTCTATGGCATTTGCGCTTAAACTTTTTTTTAAGTAATGTTTCAAAAGACTATAAATCACGATTTTTTTCTTTTGACACTGCATGTGAATTTTCAAAAATGTAAATGACCCCATAAAACCAACTCGTGCAACAAGGAATTAAAGAATTAGTAGTCACAGTAAGCATTAACATAAATAGTAGGAACAAAAACATTCTTAAGGTAAATTACCGGTAATAGACACTTTAAGAGAAATTTTCAACATTAATTTAAACCATAGCTTTGGTTCTGACTGGTGGATCTTAGCAAATGGGTTTAATTGAAAAGAAATATAGTCTTTTACCGCATTTTTTAAAATATTAAGTCAATTAGTTGTTTATTCATGAAAAATTTAAGGAATTCTTACAGTGTATTTTGCACCAGCGCAATACTCAAGTTTTGCGGGTAAATAGGTTTTTATATAATTAAAAAAAAAATCTTCACAGTATTAAACTAAAAAATATGAAACCACAGACGAATAAATGAAATTTTCAAATTTATCTTTTATACCTCCGTGAGGCCAACTCCGGTCTTGTTTTATTAAAAAATCAACTTCCAATCGGTTATTGTGCCATGATATGACTTGAAGTTCAGGCAACTCTCTCCTAAGTATTCTAGCTGCAAATCTACTCATACTTGCACTCTATTTTTTGTGTATAAAGCTTATTATCTATTAACGATTTTTAAACTGTTAATTACTGGTACAATGACTATTAATGCTACATTTAGCCTATAGGATTAATCTTTAAAGTTGGAATTTAGGATTATGTTCATGAACAAGAACTTTTTTAACAGCCTAGTATATCATCTATCCTTGAAACATTCTTGTTACAAAGTTATGAAATATGAATATACAAAATGCACTTATATTAATTCTTAAAGACCAATAAGTAGATTCAGTGATGATATATGAATTATTATTTTCAAAAAGTTGAGTAGTTATATTAATTACACAAATAAATAAAGTTCTGTCGTGTATAAATTTATTTATTTGGAAAGATATTTGGGCAACTACTGTCTAAAAAAATATGGATAATGCAAACTATATATTACTTCATATACTTCATCAGTTTTTATTTAGATATAAGGAGTAAATTAGAATATATAAGAACTAAGGAAAGCAAGATTAAAGAGAGTAAATTTTTGTTATATCTGTTACAAAAAACTTAATGTAAGAATTCACATGACACCTCTTGTTTGTATTTGATATCTCCAAGATAAACTTCGCTTATCTTATCTTTCACATTGTTACAATATTAAAGTTTCTCTTACCAAAAAAAATGCAAGCAGGTCAATATCCTTTTTATTCCAAACCAATAATTAAAAAAAAATTAATTTTTATTTAGCTCAATGACATTTTTCTCAATTTCATTCAAACCTTTCTCTCTTATCCCTCCTCCAGAAAAACAACAGCTATCTGTGATGGCAATAACAATTTGAATCCTGAATGTTTTTTAAACATACTTTATTTCTGATTTTACATTGATAATGGATTAGAAATATGAAACTTAAGAGCATCTGAAGGAGGTAAATTAATTTCTTTTATTTTAAAATCTGATCATTGATATTTACAACTGTATTATAAAAAAAAAAACAAATCAAAACAAACAGCCAAAAACTAACCAGATCACAATTAACTTATACTTAATAATCAGAAAAATGAAGAATAAAGGATGCCAAATGCCAAACATTTTCACAGTAATTTAAAACAATACAACACAAAGTCTTATTCACTAACCTATATTAAAGATTTAACAAGAAAAATTGAAAGAGCTTTTTAAAAAAACAGTAAATAAAATAGAAAAATGCATACAAAAACTAAAGACAATATATTACAAGAGATGAGAACTAATGTTATATATAAAATAGATTGTAAAAATTACACAAACAAAAACTAATTCTAAATCAATAAAATTAAATATATCAACCGGCATTACATAGCAACTTATAATAAACATGATTTTGATTTTTAAAAATAATATATAAATATAATAATGATGAAAGAAGAATTATTGAATCTATTTATATTACTAAAAATTTACATAAATCCGTAAACAACCAAACTGATGTTGATAATATAAATACGTTTTACGCAAATATAATTAACGATATTTCAATATAATATTAAAAACAAAACAATGAAATAAAAATGAAAATTTTAAACCACTCTTAAACAAATAACTCAATCCAGATTTTAATAAAGAAAAACAGTTCTTGTTTTGCTATCCCCACTACGATGATCTTAGTCATTCTCTCCATAAATGATGTAAGAGATACGCAAGATGAATATAGACAATTATATTTTCTTACCTAAAGAAAAACAAAAATAGGAATAAGGACTATGGATTCGATGAGAGAAACCTGATTATGTTAATAATAAAATACATAAATATAGGAAATTACGAACATGCTAGAAAACAGAAAATGTATAATAAATAATGTAATACATAAATGATGGATAAATTCAGCAGATGAATAATGTTGTTATATATATAGAATATAAAATTAATTTTTATGATAAACAACCTCATTTATTCATATATATTTGTGAGATTTTTTAATAATTATTATATTTAATCTACATTATCTTGATTATTTATTTATCAAAATCCTTTTTTAATCTCAGTCTTATATTTTACATTTAAAACATTTTTACAAACATTTACAAATTATTATTTTTTAACGTTTCGGCTCCAAAAGTCATTTTCAAACATTATTTTTCTTTAAAAAAAAATTGTCCTATAAAAGCAATATTTCTAAAAAAAATCTCTTAAATTATATATGCATATAGAACGCTACTTAATGGTAGTAATTGTTTAATTAAATATAAATTTTTTTGTTTCCTTTTTTTCTAAAATTCCACAGAATTTCTCTTCTTCTCATTTTATCAAAAATTTCATCCTTAATTTCTTCTTTTTTTGATTACCCTCAATCACCTCATAAATTTATTCTATTGTAAATTTAAATTTTCATTTTTAGGACAGGAGGCACAAGGATATATGTTTTTTTCTTCTGTATAAAATAAAAATATATCACTTTGAAACAAAGTTACAAAAAAACATTTGGAAACTTATTCTTTCATCATATGAAAAAAATAAATTATATTCTCTAATCATATAGTAACTAAGATTGTTAATGTTTGTTACAGGTACCCCTGTATAAGCCAAAAGGCAGAATATAATGAAGAAAAGGTGTACAGCATGTCAATAGCAGCTGCACGATTCCTTTACAACGATCGTAATGTTGCTACGGTTGGAGGTAGTGATGCGTCTCTGATGCTTTGGCAGGTAGTCGATGAATGAGTGCAGCTGTACTGGTCTGTCCAGCTTGAAGAGGATAACGGCTCTTATTCGTACGATTCTGGATGACCAGAAAGGTTCCTGGGAGATATAATGTATAAATGATATCCATTCAAACATGAAACTACAAGAACATTTGCGTATATAAATATAAAATAAATATACAGGTGATGGAACTTAACCCTTTGTACAATTGTAAATATAATGTACCTGAAGAAGAATCAGATAACATTTTATGTAATAATATGCTCTGGGTATTGTTAATTTTATTATTATAAACTAACACTTAGGACCAGTTATACATAAAAGCGTAAAAGTAAGCTTAGTTGCATACACAATTTAAAAAAAAAAAATAATACTACCTCATGTATTAGAGATTAAGATATTTTATTCTTAATATATGTTATAGATTGATGGCAATGGTTCTATAAAATAAATGCGTTGTTAAAAAATTCTAAGAATTTCAGATATTCTATTAATACAAATTAGACAAAAAAAATCCTTATCAAATCCTTGTAAGATATATTAAATAACCAGCTTTATCCGGCCAGGCATCGGCTCAATCTGGCTAAGTTTTTCATATGTTTAATTTTGTGTAGATTATTTTATGTTAAATAAAAATGTTAATCTTCATTGCTTCAAAATCTTACATCTCGAAAAGTTTTTCATCGATTGCTTTGAAATTTTGGCTTAACTTTGTATTAGAATATGCTCATTTTATGTACTTTCTATTATAAAACAACAGGTAAAACTATAATTTTATTTTTAAACAGGACTATCTGTTGAATGTAAAATACTGTTCAAAATATTTTACATTACCATTTCAATGTTTTATATTTACAAATATTAAACATGTCATTGAGTTGGAATTGAGTTATATCATCATTTACCATAACATCCATTGCATGTATATTAGAGCTGTCTCTCCCCTCCTCTGACAGCGATTGTGCTGAGAGCAGAATTCAGAAAAATTTCAAATACTCATGGATATAGGGAACCAAAATGTTTGTACTTTTGGAGTTATTCACAAATAAAATGATGAATCCATCATAACTTTTTATTCTGCTTCTTTTCGGGAAAGTTTGTTCTATACAGAAATTAAAATGGCTTGAAGGATAAGACTAGCCATGTTTTATTAAAATCACTACAGTCAATTGTGACACCTATTTCAGCTGTAATTTCGAAATGAAAGGCCAAATGATATTGAAATGTTTATAAAAATCCCGATGTTGTGTCAAAATTTCAAAGCAATTGCTGGAGAACTTTTGGAGAATAACGATTTTGAATAAGCAAACATTTATATTTTTATTTTGTTTTACATATAAAGAACTTATCGTAGGATAGATATACCATGCCAGAAATCTTCGAGGGAGTGTACGCAACAACTTCCCAAAGTTGCATGCCGATTTGGTGAGTGGTAGTAATGCATAAAGGACAAACAGACAGATATACATTCGTTTATGTATATATATAGATGAAATATTCACACTGAAAAATTTCCATTTTTTTATTTGTATTTGCCTCTATCCTAGAGGTTCATTGGCAGTAATTCTTAATTTTTAAATTCTGCTATAATAATTTGGTTCGATTAAACATTGGAAGAGAATGACAATATCTTCCTCCCTGTCTCCTAAAATAGCCTTCAATGCCGTGGACAACTTTGATTGTTCTCTTTTTTTCGTATTGGGGAGACTTTAGTAATAAATGTTTAACTGTCTGAGGTACGTTGTCACACTTTTGGCAGGTAGGCGCTTCTAGATCTCTTAGAAGGTGTCCATGTGTGAAAATACAGTGTCCAACTCACATTCGGCACAATATTATTTCTTGCCATCTAGATTTTCTGGAGCTTGTGACCCGTGTGTAGCACTTCTAGCAATCTTCAATCTTCAACAGTGGTGTAACGTATTGGTGTTATACCTGATATTTCTGACTTCGCCAAATGAGCAGCTTGGTCTGCCTTTTCATTACAGTTATATAAATATAAAATAAAAGTTATATTAATCCCCTATGAGATGGAACCCAGACAAAGAACACACTCACTAATCTTTTTCTCATTCCAAAAATCCAATTGAGGAATAATTTGTTTGAAAGATATCTTTTCAAAGAACACTAAAAATGTGTTTTTCGTCGAATCAAAAAAATTAAAACTAGGCCGTATCAATGCAACATCTACAAATCTCTTTATAAAATTGTTGAAGTATTATAATAATTAAAATACCATATTTAACTATAATCATAATAATATATTTACTAGAATAATTTACAAATTACTTCAGCATTATTATTTTTTGGAATAAATTTTTTATGTTTTACTTGAAGAAAACAAGACACTTTATGAATTTAGTGTTTGTTTTTTTAAAGCTTTGAATGTTATAACTGATCCTGAGTTATTTAATCATTATTTAATTTCTAAAAATTAATCCACGATTTTATCAATACCCAATTTTTTTAAAAGTATCATATTAAAGTAATTGAAATAAATGAATATTTAAGTTCATTCTGATAATTTCATAGAATTATTGCTTACCGTTACAATTTTATTTTATGTTGTACAGATATCTCTATATAAAGAAAGGTTTATGTATCGTAGCTTTTTTAAACTATCTTACTAACTTTAAATGTCTTCCAAGTATACTTTGTTTTCTTTGAATTTGTTTGTTTTATCTTTTAAATTAGCAATTACAAAAGTTGAAGAGTTTTCATTTCTGACCACCTTTTCCATATTTACTGTACGAATATCTGGTAATTAAAACAAACTAATTTGTATTCTGAAAAAAATTAGGTACTATTATACTGTCACTTGACATATATGTCTTTATAAATATATGTTATTATGTTTCTTTATGGGGTAGAAATAAAATAAAATACTCCATTAAGTGTAAGCAAACAAATGTAAAGAAATATAAATTACATTAAAAAAAAATTATTTCAAAAGAAATTATATATCTTTGATGATGCAGATATTACCAGATTACATTTGTTTTTATGTTTGTTGAAACTGTCTAAAATGCTCTTAAAATGTTCGTAAAATAACAATGTTCGATTAAAATATATTTTTTTTTAATCTGACTTTCTTTTTTTATGGAAAATTGTAAGATGACATGATTAACTTGTTTAATTATTTTTTCAATCTATTCTGTAAAGGTGATGGACTAATAAACTGTAAATAGTTAAAAGATAAAAAAGTAATATTGTTAGAAAATAAGAATTGTGAGACAAAATGCTTTATAACTGCCAGTTTTGGAAATACATTTTATAATAAAAATTAGAATATTAGAATGGATAGTCATTATAAAAATATAAAATATGTTTAAAAAAAAAAAAAAAAAAAGAGATATTTTATATTGGTCATTTTAATCAAGAGGGGCCAATAAAAAAAACAAATAAAAAAAATTCACATTGGTTTAAATATAATAAATAATGAACAACCATAAATGTAATATTTCATATATAAATAAGAGAAAGTAAAAAATTGAACAACTATGGTGTAACGAAATTTAGAACTTCCAGATTATGTTTTGATAGAGTGGATTCTCATTTTAACAAGGTTCATTAAACTGGATTAGTTATTGCTCATATTTTTCACTTTTGAAGTTATTTTCAACTTTAGTAGAAAATTAATTAATTGAAGCATCTTTTGTTTTATTTATGTTATATCAAGTTTCCACATTCAGTATTTTCTGTCCTCATTGTAGGACAATTATCTCTGGAACCTGAATGGTTATATTTTCCTCTGATCTGTGTTGTAATGAGAGTTTATAGAACTTGAGATAAATACTTGTATTTAAATCAATATGTACAGTCACAAGTTTAATGTTACCTGTCTTTAAGTTATGAAACTCAATGTTTAACTTATAAACTATTTATATATTTTTAATCTAATTGTTAATTAAACAATGTAATTAGTAATATATGATTAAAATTATATTATTTTTTTAAAAGCTATATTGCTTTATCAAGCTTTATTAGATCTAGTCATTTCATAAAAGACCAGTAAACAGAAGAACTTTTATTGCTGCCTAGTTCAGGTGGATATATATATTTTTTTTTATTTATGTATATACATTCACTGTTGATAATTAAGATATTCTAAATTATATGAATAGCATGCCAGATCACTCTATTTATTTAATGCAAAAGGGTTAAAATATTATCAGGGTAAAACCATTTTATATACAAATAAGCACGATAGATAATATATTTTTCAGAATATTTGCAAATTTATTCCTCAGTTTTATATGCATTTGATTCTGTGATAACAAATGCTATACCTCAACACTATTATTACAATAAAATATTTATAACACTGTTGTTATAATTTAATATTTATGAACAAACGTGCTCAATTTGTTTTCACAATTGAACAATTTTTGTGTGCATATATTTTTGTTTTAATGATTTCTAGTAGTAAAAATTTATAATTTTTTGGCAATTTTAGTAATATTTTGCCAAAAAAAAAAATAAGATGTTTGATCATTTATATAAATAATTAAATTATAATACAATCAAAATTTGATGTTATTGCTTTGATTGCTTGTTTACAAACATAAATGGGTGTTTATTGTATGCAATCAATAAATTTGTTTAAACAAATTGTTTTATTTATTAATCTCAATTGGTTATTCAAATAGTTACCATTGGTCTACCTAGTCCTGTTATAAATATTATTACAAGGAAATATATACAGATTTCAACAGAAAAATTAATTTTTTCTAAAATTTTATTATAAAATAAAATGTATATCTATAGAGAGTAATACAAAAATTAAATTACTCAAAATGTCTTCCTTTTGCCTTAACACAGGCATTTAATCTCCGTGGCCAGTCATCAATAGCAGCACACAGCATTTTTTGAGAAAAGCGCTCAACTCAAACAGAGTATCATTTAGAGGCCTGACAAATGGTTCCAAAATTTCGTCCTGATAGTTTTTAGCGGCTATTTTAACTCCTTTTTCACAAAAATGGAGCTTTGTGATGCCATCAAAGTAAACTCCTGACCAAACCATCACTGAGGAAGGGTGATGACCTCTTTCCACTCTTCCAATGACTTCCTGGGCTTCTTTAGAGTGCATACACACTATCATTTTGGCGATTAAATTTTTCTTCAATTTTAAAAATTTTCTCATTGCTAAACAAAATCTTTCAATGAAAAACATTGGTGTAACGGCCAAGGAGCACTTTGTATCTATCCACTCTATTTTTTTTTTAGGGAAGTGGTTAGCCTTTATCCTGACATTCTAAGAAATGTACCCATCCTAAGGTCACTTTTTATTATACGAGACATTGATCTAACAGAGATTCCCATCTCCCGAGACATGATTTGTTGTTTTTGAATGAGATTTCTTCTGATTCGAGCAGCCACTGCTCTCACTGTATTTGCTGTTCTCACAGTGCGGGGACGGCCCGGTCGAGGTCTGTCACTTACAGATAGGGTCTCATTATATCTATTTATAGTGTAGTACACGAACATACGGCTGATAACCAAAGGTTTCAAAGTGTTGAAAATCTCTGACCTACATTTTCCAACTTTGTGTAAGGCGATCACAGCTATTCGGTTTTTTTTTTTATCACCCTACTCCATGTTAACTGAGTGAAAGAAAAATACAAACTAATTGGGATTATTATCCTGGCATGTAAAGAAAATAACCCGATAAAGGTAAGGATTATCTAAATAATACCCAAGGATGTAAACAAAGTTCAGCTTTTGTAATACTATTGTATGACAGAACTAGGTATACCCTTTCATAAAATTTCTTTTAAATCAAGCCTTAATTTTCATCACTTCTAATTTTTTCTTATATTGTTGCAGTTTGGAAGAAAATACATTTTTACAAATTTCATCTTTCTAATATATTAAGCTAGAAAGAAAACTTTGACATATAATAAAATTTCTTTTATTCTTTTTTCATTATTTTCCTTAATAGGTGTGAAAGTAAAGTTAGTTGAAAGATATAGAATGATTCTGAAAATAATCATGATCACCAGAATTTCAATTGGTTTTCTATATCAGTTTCCACCATGTTCTAAAAAAAAAACTAGTTTTTCTTGAAGGCTTATTGGAATTGCAACTTGCATTGGGACATAGATAGAATACCATCACTCAGAATAACATTATATTATTGTACAATATACAATATTGTACAATTTTTAAAATATTGTATACATTATGAGCGCAGACTTCGGGAAGAAGGTGAAATATCAAACTCTTCTAAACAAACTATAATTTATAGTAGGGGTAGAATGAAACAGTTAATTCTTATAATTAAAAGTAAAAATTTAACTTTGCCATTTCAAAACATTGATTTTCTTAAGTTTTATTTTCAAACCTCATTAATAAAAAGTTTTTATATAACAATGTTTACAAATGATTTACTTGAATAGGTTTTTATGAAAAAAGTAATATGCTTTTACATTTTTATTGACAGAAAACATAATCATTAGTATATGTACATATGCTAAATAAAACATAATAATTTTTCTATGTATTTAACATAGCAAATATTTCTAAGGTTTATAAGGTATGGGAACATGGTAGTATGTATAACGTTAATTCAAAAACATTAAAACTTTTAATTTTTCTTATAAAACAATTCTGGTAAAAAAAATAATACCCTGTATTGTATAATGTTCTAAAAAGTTAGTAAATATTTTCTAGTATCATCGGAATTTATTAGTTTTCCACTCTGAATACTGAGCAATGTAATAATTATGAACTTATATTATAATTTGTAATTTGTTGTACTTATAAAAATTATACTATTGTATTATTTTAAAGGGAATAAGTAATATTTAAAAAATTTTAACAAATGATTTTTTAATACATTTATATATTTATTTAAAAAGTAACAACATTTTTAAGCAAGACTTTTATTTAACAGCTTTTTGGAACATTTCAAACAGTTTAATTCATTTGTAAAAAAAAAAAAATAACTGTTTCAACCCCTGATTTATAGAGTTACATATTTATTACAAATTATATTAATAAGTATTAACTAGATGAGAAATAGGAATACTTGTTTTGTAAGTGGACATGCATATACACATTCACAAAACACTTGTACATGTGTTCGTTTCTTTCTTAGTTTAATCGACTGCACTATATTTCCGAAGTGTTTTAGACGAAGATGACACTGTCCTCATTTTCTCTTTAGATCTGTTCTTTCTTCCATTTCTTTCTTACAAATGTGTTTCCACTATCCGTTTTTTTAAAACGTCAGCTGCGGTTACGGTCCCCGGTTCTGATATTCATCTCGACTTTGGTCGGGATTGTTTAGAATTTTGCCTATCTTATGAAGTCTCTAAAATGGTAATTTTTAAAAATATATGAATGGGAGTTGGGTAGATGTAAAGATAGATACAAACGTAAATAATCATTATATCTGATATAAAGCTACCAGGAACCATAACCGCAGCTAACATGTCAAATTTTTACTAATTATTACTAGATAATACAATACATTTTAATACAAGAGACGACAAGTATAAAGTTTTTAAAGGACTGCTACGAATTTCCTCTTTAAATAAATGACTTCTGGTTCACTTTAACTTTGGTTTTAATTATTCAACTCTTTTCGTTATTGCTAAAAAAAACGATTAAAAAAAAATATTACAATAAAAATGTTTATAAAATTTAACTATTAACAATAGATTCATGAACAAAATTCAATAGCTCATTAAATTAGATTTCAACAACTTTTTTCAAAAACTTATATTTATCTAACTTTCTTTATTTAATAAATAATAGTGAATTGATTGAGCAACATTTTAGTTAAATAAAGATTGTTTAAAACAAAAGATATAATATTTCTAATTTTGCTTAAATATGTCAAAATGTAGTTAAATCCTTGTCGTAGACAATATTAGAAGAAATGAATGTATTATAGATGTAAGAGAATTTATGACTTTTTCAAACAAAAACATATATATTCGATCTCATTAAAATTAAAAGAACTGACAAAGGTGTTACTGATGTATTGAAATCAAAATCGTGCAATTTATGCCAAAAACAGCAAAACATACAATTTCATGTAATATCAAATTTCACTACATTATTCAAGATCGTGAAATGTATAGATTATCTGGTTTGAAGATTTTACACTCAAGCACGGACGGATCTATGGGGGGGAGGGCTTTCGGGCTGAAGCCCCCTCCCCCCAAAATGGTAAAGTATAACCATGTTTTATCGAAAAAAATATTAAAAAAGTATCTCTTAAAGTATTATTGTTCGTGTAATTACATTTAAAAAGGCTTTAGGAATCACTTAAACACCATTTCATACAGGTAGTTAGTTTCTTTCTTTTTTTCCAAAGTAATTATCGTTATTTTTATGAAAAAAAAACTTTCGGGCTGAAGCCTCCCCCAAAAATAAATCCTGGATCCGCTAGTGCAAACAAGCAAATAAAACGCACACTAATTTCGTAAATCTCTAATAATAACATAGTCTTATATATAATATCTTGTATCACTATGATACTTACAATACAGGATACATAAAATGTTCACTAGCTTTGAGATTCTGTAATTTTCAATCAGTTCTACTTGCACAGAGTTCTTTATATTCTTCTCGATTGTAATCTTTAGATAAGGAGATGAGATCTGCAAGAGAACAGCTTGCGCTGCATGGCATTTTCATTGGTGCAGGTTTAAAAGTTTGTGAGTTTGAAATATAATGCACCTAGAAATATTCCAAATTAGATGATTAATTAATTCTAATAATGCATTAATATTTCATTTATTTAAAAATTCTCATATTCCTTAAAATAATTCTTTTCGAACTACACTAACAGCTATCGATTTTTCAGTGAAGTAATCTGAGGAATTTCTCTTAGCTGTATATAAAACCAAATAAATTCTTAATTAAGAAGAAAAAAGTAGGCAAACATTTTTATCGATTTTTTGATCAAATTATCTTATAATCCAAGTGGAAAGAAAATGGGTATTTACGAGTTTCTAGTATCTCATAAATAAACAATATTTGTCCCCCCCTCCCCCAAGATTGAAAACCACCCAATTCCCAAGAGTTTTCTTAAATAAAATAGTTCCAGGTTACGATGAGATGAAGTTTACGAAATTTCAGGAGGATGTTAATAATTTGATAAAAAGGGGTCTGTACCACGACTGTTATATTCATCATAGTAAACCAGATAAAATTTTCTTGAAAATATAACTACAATAAATTAAATGATTCTATTTTCTAATCCTAATTATAATATTTTGGTACTTTTCCATAGAAATAGTTCAAGCAATTATTCATTTTTTCAGAAATTTTAAGGTGTTATCTTTAATTGGTATTGATATCCTCTTGATAATGAATACTGCATCCTAAAGTAAAATTAGAGAATTTGGAAATTCAAGGAAAAAAACTAGCTCCTAAAGAAGGATATTTTTTCTTCAACTATTCAACAAAAATATTTAATTTGAATAACAGCCTTAATCAGGAAAGTGAAAAACCTCATGCAACAAGGCAATGATTACATCAATACCAATTTAAGGTTAGACATTATTATCATTTCTCAAATAAATGAAACTCTTACTATTACTTTATTATTTTTTGAAAAAGTAGCATTAATTTAACATATTTTTTTGTAAATGAAAAGTGTATTTTGGTAACTAAATTATTAAAATATATTTCATGACACATACAAAAAAAAAAAAAAAAAAAAAGGAAAATATAAAAGGGTATTACTATTGGGTTGGCAAATAAGTCCTATTGGTTTTCTCTTTATTTTTATGTCACTATGATACACCTCTTCTTATCTGATTAATTAACCCCTTAGGTGGATTGTTTATCCTGTTTGTAATATGCCAACAACTATATCAGTTAACTCTTGTTTAAACTAGCTTAGTATTGTGTTTGCTATTGCACTGTGAATATGGAAGAAAATATCATTCATCATCAGCATATTTTGTTGTATAATTTTAAAAAAGATAAGGGTGCTGCAGAAGCTCATATTAGTGTTTATGGGGATGATGCCTTAACCGAATGCACCTGTCAAAATTGGTTTGCCAAATTTCATTCAGGAAATTTTTTGACATCAATGATGCTCAACGGTCTGGTCGCCCTGGTGAAATTAAAACGAGCAATGTTAAGGCCATTGTTGATCAAAATTCTACCCAATCAGTGCAAGAGATTGCTATGGCCCTAAATGTGTGGCACGCAAGCATAGAAAACCATTTTCACTAGCTCGGCTATGTTTCCAGGCTTAATGTTGTGATTCCTCTCATAATTTTTTTTTTTAAATCATATAAAATGTTATAACTTCAATACAACTTTAGCTATCTGCAAAAAATCTAGCAGGAAACTACACAAAATGTTCTATATGCCTCAGAGTTATATATATAACTCTGAGGCATATAGAACATTTTGTGTAGTTTATGTGGCCCTAAATTCCTGCTAGATTTTTTGCAGAAAGCTAAAGTTGTATTGAAGTTATAACATTTTATGTGATTTAAAAAAAAAAATTATGAGAGGAATCACAACATTAAGCCTGGAATATATATATATATATATATATATATATATATATATATATATATATATATAATATATATATATATATATATATATATATATATAAATCTTATTGTTTCTTGTCAATCAAGGTCACAAAAGATATTAGATTCCCGAATTTCCAACAACAGTTAAACACCCTCAAAAAGTCTATTTCCAGTGCTGGGGTTTTGTTTTAATATTCACGAGTATAAATAACCTAGTCCTCCAATAAACGAAAGGAATATTTACAATTTCTGCCAAAAATGGGTCATTTACAATTAACCTTTAACAAATTATTTACAAACTATACTCAAAATTTAATATTGTTCATAATATATATGTATTTACTTGTACAGACATTTCTTTGGTAAATCATAAAAACTACAACATAAAGAATTTTATAACACAGATTGTGTAATGATGAATAATTTGTAATACATACTTCAAGATAATCTTTTCCATTATTTTCATGAAGCTCGATAGCAAGAGCAAAAGTGGTGTCATCAGCTGTGTTCATCTCAATTTGAAGAATATTCAAGAGAATCAAAATGTTCATATTGTTCCACATATGAAGTTCCATCTTCTTTGAACTCTTACTAAAAAAACTGATCAATTTTTGAACATATGGACCTGTTACAAGAAAATCAAATTTATATTTTGCAAACAAAAAAAAACATGTTAAAAGGCAATAATTACTATTTTAATAATTTGAAAACATATAATTATTTCATAGTTAGTATTTGGTCATCCTCAATTGATCATTGTATCATCAATGTATCATCATTAACAGTACAATACCTTTCTTAGTAATTAATTATGATTCTATTAAGACTGTATGAAATTTAAAAGGGAGCAAAACAAGCAATTTATTTTGGCAGTTGTAAAACTCTCAATATTTTCAGAAAAAAATGCATGAAAAAATGACCTGCAAGTACGTTCCAACCACAGGCAGATCTAAGGGGGAGAGAGAGAAGGGCTTTCAGGCTGAAACCCTCATCCCCAAATGTTAAAATGTAGTAAAAGTTTTATGGAAAAATTATAAGTATTATTGTTCTTGTAATTACATTTTATAGGACTTCAAGAATAACTTCAACACCATTTTATATAGGTACTTGGTTTCTTTTTTCTTCTTTTTTTCAAAGTAATTATCGTTTATATATATGAAAAAAAAAGCTTTCAGAATGAAGCTCCCCCCCCCCTGGATCCGCTAGTGATTCCAACTACTAATTACATGATAGGTCAAATCATTTGATTCTTGGATAACAAAGCAAAGCAATATAGATGAAAATATTCAGTTCTCAAATAATTCCAATGAGTTTTAATGATAACATTTTAATAAATATGTTTAGGATCAAAATTAGATGTTTGTAAAATATTTTGCGAATCGATGATAATGGTATTTATCGTATTTTATAAATACATCCTTTTCAGAAGGTATTAAACCAAAAACAAAAACAAAAATCGGACAATCAGTCTAATTTGGTGATTTGTTTTCATATTTAAATTTCCAGAAATTCAACAATTACAAAAAATAATTAATTGTGGGTTTATGATTGGCTAGTGAATAATTGAAGAGAAGGATGGTTGGCGTGATCAGTCAAATTAAAATGGTAAAAAAAATAATTTTATTTATTCGCCGACGTTTTGTACCAAAGATCAGACTTTCAACAGGGCTGGGAAAAGAACCAGATAACAATAGCTAAAATAACATTGAACAATACAGAATTAAGATTAAAAGAGGTGAAAGGTATAGACTAATAATTTTAGGCAGAAAAAATTAACGTAAAATGATCTATCTACTTGAATGATCTATCTACTTAAATTATCTACTTCATTTTATGTTGAGTTTTTCTACCTAAAATTATTAGTCTATACCTTTCACCTTTTTTAATCTTAATTCTGTATTATTCAATGTTATTATATCTATTGTTATCTAGTTATTTTCCTAGCTCTGATGAAGGAATGAACTTTGGGCCGAAACGTCGATGAATATAAAAATAAATAAAATTATTTATTTTTACCATTTTAATTTGAATAATCACTCCAATTATCCTTCTCTTCAAAAAATAATTAAATTTTATTACCATAAGAGCTTTAAAAAAGTGTTGTAAGGTAGTACGTAAATATAATTCCCCAACATTTTATCATACCATAGGTAATTTTAGAAGTTATTACTATTTGAACTTTTGTTTTTATAAATTTTAAAAATATAATAATCTTTGTGCCTTTAATTATATTAATATATTGAGTTATTATAATGTGTGAAATAATTATGAAAATATTTGGAAAGTTAATTTAACGATTATTAAAAAAAAATTAATATATGCGATTTTTTTTATATATATACACTTTCTAATTTATAGTTACTTTTAAGAAGTAGTGTAATCCAAGCAATCCATTTATAAATCTAATAAATATAATTACATAATATGCTTAGCAAAATTTTTTTAGTAATATGTCATATATGATGGATATCATCTAAATATATCTACTTATATATGATAAGATAACCTTGGTTTGTCTTACTGGTTTATAGCTTAAGTATCTTCAATAGATAAGTAAAATATTTTTATTTACATCTGTAAAAAAAAAATATTGCGATTGCAGGAGTTTTCGTTTCAAATTTATTATTGATTTTTTTTAGTTTTTATTTTATTTTAGACTAATTTGGGATTTAAAATTGGATTAAGTTAGCATTGGAAATAGGACAAAAAAATTAAAAAGTAAAAAGTAATTTTTATGGTATTCAAACCACCAAAAGTACTTTACCATTCCATTCATTATGATAATGCAAATAAAGTGTGAACCGCATTAGAATTTTTATAAAATGATAACTGGATGAAAAATCCATTTTTTTTTTTGTTCAATGTCAACTGCAAAAGTGCTTAGATTGAAATACTGATTAAATTGCAAAAAAGAAACATATTTTAGCTTTCAAATTAATTCATTTTGAAAATTAGCTTTGTTCTACATATTTATGAAATAATAGAGTCTTATTCTACAACCCGTCCCGCATTTCAGAAAAAACAAAACAATATTATTAAACAATAAGTTAATTTTTTGAGCATATCAAATAATACTATTGAAACATGTAAATATGTTTGTAAAATAGAATGGAGCATTAACTATTAATTGAAGGACATTGGAAGGGAAGGATTGGATATGCACCCATGCAATATAGATAAACCTTTAAATATAAAATTTAAATAATAATATCAATATACCTCCAATTAGATGCCTTTGGAAACCAAAAATAGTTGAATGAAATCTAAAGAATTTAAGAAACATTGCTGTCATATCATCAATATAAATTGATTTAGCACCAATATCCTGAAATAAAATTTTAAAAAACTCATATAATTATAACATGCATTAACTTAAAGTTTCTTCAAGATTAAAATGTATAGTCAGTGGTATACACCCCTTTTTGTAAAATTATTAACATCCCTCTGACACTGTGTAAATAGCTTCATCTCCTTGTAACCTACTGCAATTATTTTATTAACGAAATTTCTGGGAATAGGGGCGTTTTCAATCTGGAGGTCTGCAAAGTTTGTTTATTTAAATAGGTTATAAATAACATACATACCCATTAGCTTTTCACTTGAATCGTAAGATAATTTGAACACAAACTAGAGAAAAAAGGTGATCTTAAAAAATATCGAGACATTTGGCATGACCTACAGTCCCAAAATGTCAAAATAACAAGGTTTTATATTCTAAACGGTCCTATATTCTTGTAGGCCACCTTTTTTCTCGATTTCGTGATCAAATTATTTTACCATCGTAGTGTAAAGCAAATGGGTATATATAGTTTTTGAGTACCTAATTAAAAAAAACAAATCTCAATATTTCTAAGTTAGTTCTGCAATATATGTATATAAATGAATGTATGTATGTAAAAGAAGTTATTTCTATATTTATATTTTACTTCTATGTACGTTTTACTTCTTCCATTTTTGTTTTTATTCACATTGTACTTTATCTATAATCTCTTAATTCTATTTTATATGTATATGCATATAAAATAGCATAGATATAGTATTTTTTTCCCTTGTATCCATCCAAAACTTCAAATTTTAGATACTGTAATTTTCTAGGTTTTTCCCCGTTACCCAAACAAGTCAGCAAATTCCCCAATACCTGCCCTTACCCTGGTTTTCCAGTTCTAAGTGAAACTCCTAGCTGAACACACCTGTAATTCTCTAATTTTATTATTCAAATTTTATTTACTTATTTATTTAATTTTTTGGTTTTCTTTTCTTTCTCCACATTCCTTTATGTCTATTATTTCATATTATATTCTTTTTCCTTTTCTTTCAATCTCTTCTGTAGATATGTAGAAGTATATTCACATTTGCATTTATTATATATTACACTACAACAATTGTTACCATCTTATTTACTTTAGTTTAGGATCTTGTTACTCGGCTTACTCTGTTTATATTTTAATGTACTTATTGTTTATAATTTTAATAAGCTTATTCACATTGTTTATAATTTTAATAAGCTTATTCACATTGTTTATAATTTTAATAAGCTTATTCACATTGTTTATAATTTTTTGTCTAAATATTATGTAACTTCCACAATTCTCTATCTGTTTGTATCTTGTCTGTTCTAGCCCTGAAGAAGGCCTGCAAAGTCGGGTCGAAACGTTGGCTTTTAATAAAATAGTTTTACCACTATTTAGCCTATTTATGACCGCCACCCCGGACCATCCCCTTCCTTTGCTTGGTTGTAGGTTACGATGAGATGAAGCTATTCACGAAGTAGATGTTAATAATTTGATATAAAGGGGTCTGTACCACGGACTAGTATCTTCTATCATATTGTTGAGTAATGTTTAAATACCTGGACAAAATCTGTTCCGTTACTGTCATTTTTTATTCCAACAAGATTTAAATCTTTTCTAGAATCAACCAGATCGTCGTATAACCTCGGGCAAATGGTTCTCTGAAAACAAATCGGCTTATTAAAATTAAAATATTTATATATATAATATTGAAGTTCAATATAAAGATTTTAAATTATGCAATATCTTAAGGCATAAGACAAGTTTACTATCTAATTAAGCCAATTCTCTATAATATTACAATATTATATTATATTACAATAATTGCTATCTAATACATCCTGAGAAATAAGAATTTAAGGCATCGCCTCTATACCATGTTCGCATATGCAGATGGCATTGTCGGATACCATGACAACGGGAGAGATCTCCAGTTCAACCAGTTCTTCTGGAGGTGTTTAACATTAAAATAAATCAACATTAAAATAAACGTTGGAAAAACAAACATAACAAGGACAGGAAGAAGGGAAACCAAGCATGATGCTTAAGACAAGAGGTGAAGAGATCGAGCAAGACAAGCACGTCGAATACGAAGGAGTTCACTTAAATACACGGGACTGGACAGATGAGGAGATTAAGGCTAAGTATTTTGTATTGCTTAACTTTTTTGTCATCGGGAAGGGCTTTAAATACTAATTTTGGTTTATTATTTTCAATAATGAACCATTGTGATCGAACAAAATATTCAAAAACTTAATCCATTTTTTTAAAATTTGAGTTTTTACGTTTCAGGAAACGTAGAATTCGAAAAACGAATACAAATGTTTAGTTCGTCTACTTTCCGCCTTCCCCGCATTTTCTCCGAAACTACTGGACCGATTATTTAAAAATTTGGATATAAAATCAGAGGTCACCAGAGGATATTCCTCCTTCATCGACATTACTATCCGCCTTTTACTATAAAAATGGCGACCGAAATACGTAGCTATAGACTGTAGCGCCTAAACGAATGTACCGATTTCGATGAAACTTGGCGAAAGTCTTCTTCTCAATGCCCTTTAAATTTATTTATATAATATACTTCAACGAAAAGAAGCTGGAAAAAAAGTTACGAGGGGTGGTGAAATTAGATTCATTATTGATATAATTATTTAAAAATTTATGAAATTTCATAAAAAAAAGTTGCCAGGACATCTAAGGCATATATCTATGTTAAATATGTATTATCAGTTTCGCACGACTTTTCGGTTTCGAGCTAGAGTGTTCCCATACAGACGGACACACAGACCATTTTTCGTGACTTGGTTATTTGGACTCAGGGGACCTCAAAACGTGTATTTCTGTTGAAAACTAAGATTCAAAAATTTTCACGATTGCAATACTTACACTTACTATATATTACATATATAGGTAACTGAAATTAAAAAGGATTCTGTTTTTGAAAAAGGATTCTGTTTGATTGATAATCAAAAAAAATATATAAGCTCCTGACATGCTCAAATACCATGAATGGGGTATCATTGGATTCAGAATTCCACGGGAGGTTAGCGAAATGTATTCTCCGGTTTTGTTTTTCTTTCTAAAATAAATAAAGTCGATATAAACATTTTGCTAGGCTTCAATACTGGAACGGTGGTAGATCTGTAGATCGATACGGGACAACCTTACCACACAACCTTAAATTAATTGTAGTACTGTCATTGAATACATGTCTCATTTCGTCGACTTGAGATCTCTATGGTCGAGACAGGAGGAGTTTATATTACTTATCGATAGTGTTTTTGATCGGCAAGCCATATCATCGTCAATTCTTCACCAAATCTCAAGATTAAGACAACAATTTCGAAGGCTTCCTCCTCCTTCAGGCTGGTAAAACAGTCAAATCACCCCGAAAATTCAGACAAACAAGTCATGTATGAAAACAAACTTTATTTGCGAATAAATGAAAAATTACACACTTTTCTCTCGGTTAGGCCCATGATTATATAAAAGGTTACTAAATTCCCCACAAAAGGAAAAACAAATCATCGAAATCGGACAATTTTTAGCAAAGATATAGCTTATTGAAATTTGTAAACATGTTGGTTCCAAACATAAGTGAAGATTTGAATTGATTTTTGTTTCCTTTGTCGATTATATTTATCGATAAAGTAACAATTGATTTCTTTATCTTTTGATACGTTGCATTATTTTATTTTATTATTAATTTGACATTTGATAACGATATGCATTGCGAATTTTTCGCACGGGTCTACTAGTATAATATAATCAATATTTTAGGTTTTTACTCGTAAAAGTTCAAGGAAATTTCGTTAAGCATGTCAGCTGCTGGTAGCGCACAGGCGGATCTACGGAGGGGGGGGGAGGGTGCTTTCGGGCTGAAGCCTCCTGCTTCCCCCTCCAAATGGTAAAATGTAACCATGTTTTACAGAATAAAAAAAATTATTACATTATTACAGAATATTAAAAATTATCTCTTAAAGTATTCTTGTTCGTGTAATTATATTTAATAGGACTTCAAGAACCACTTAAACACCATTTCATATAGGTAATTAATTTCTTTATTAATTCCATTTTTTCAAATTAATTATCGTTATATGTATATGAAAAAAAAAATCATTCGGGCTGAAGCCTCCTCCAAAATTAAATCCTGGATCCGCTAGTGGCTGGTAGTGTTGCCCAAATGCAAGACCGAGACCAGTCTTGGTCTTGGAAACTCAGTCTTAGTCTAGGTCTTGGTCTTGCGCAAGACTCTCGCAACTGTCTTGCAGTTACCTATGGGCTTATTACTGGAGAGATATTACTGTAATTTTTTAGGTATGAGAAACCTAACTAAGTTTGAACGAAAAATTAGAAGAGAAATGCAAAAGTATATTGGTTACACCAATTCTTTACATATAGTAACTAAAGTTGTCAAGTATTAGTAACTATTTTGCCTCAATTTTTATTCAAAATAATCGATTTTTTTTACCTTGGTCTTGCAACAGATAGACGTTGTTAGTTGCAAAGTGCAAGACCAAGATTGATTTTGGGCAACACTAGCTACTGGGGATGAACCCCAGATATATTTGATTTATCCATATTTATGAATTGTAAAAAAATGCTAAAGTATCAATCAATGTTCACTCACATTAAAGAATGTCTCAGGAAAAACTGGAACCTCCTTCCACCTGTTTTCATCCTTCCACCACCGCACACCTGGGGGAGGGAACAGAGAGGAAGACACCAGCTGAGCGACCGCCATTGCGTTCTCGTTGGAAATCGAGTAGGCAGTGAACTCTTCCGGAATGTACCGGTATCCGAGGAACTTCCTGTAGCGGACGCTAAGCTTCCTTCCCAGTTTATAACCTTCAAGTTTTTCTTTCTGAAGTGTTAGTGAACCAAAAATAAAATGAATATTATTAAATTAAATTTTATAGATTTAGCTATCGATATATGTATTATTTTTTTAATACCATGCTCAAGTTGCCGGGTCCTGGTCGCCATTCTTCGTTTCCTTTGTCTTGTTCATATCGGATGACCTAGAACAGACAAGCACTTATAATTATACGAAATATACAGATTTAACATTAATAATAGGAAAACAATGTAGCAGTAGTTAATTTTAATATATTCTGCAAGAACTATAGAAGGAATTTAATCGCTTATATGACATTTTCCAAAAATTGGATATTGCCACCACGGATACCATCATGAAGATATAACCATTACGGATGTATTTTAGTAGTGACGTTAATCAGGGGCGAATCGACGAGGGGGGGAGGGCTTTTTGGCTGAAGCCTCCCCTTTCCCAAAAATGATAAAATTTAACCATGTTCTTTGAAAAAAATGAACGATTTTTGTATAGTTTTGAAGGGAATTTCATTACCTTTAAAAAAAAAAAACAGGCTAAATGGTTTTATAATTTTACCATAGAATGTATACTTAGCGAGCTAGGCCCCAAAACATTTTTCTTTTCTTTATAACTTTTTTTACTGAATTTTCTAGGGAATTTAGACCATATACGAAAATTGAAAGGACAATTATTAGAAAATTACATCAAAGTTTCATCAAAACCGTTATAGCCTTTTTCGCGCTACAGTCTATAGAAAAACATGTTTTTTAATTATTGCACAACAGCTATTGCGCATGGAGCATCCAATATGTGTCACAGGCATCGGTAGTCAAAACCCTACAAATTAAAAAAAGAATCGGTTCACTAGTTTCCGAGAAAACCTTAGCACAGACAATGTCTAAAAATGTGTTTTTCGGACTCATGGGGGTCTGAAACCGCACATCGGTAAATTTTACTTGATTGCAATACTTTCCTTACCTAGTATAGGTAGGAAAGTATAAAGAATCGATTCATCATAATGATTAATTGTTGAGAATCGATTCAGTTAAAAGAATCGAATTTCCCATCTCTAGTCCATATCCTATGGAAATACTAAATTCCAGGAACTGTTGAGTAATAATTAATCATATGAAGATACGAAATTTTATAATTTATTAAGAAATAGCTTATTTGATTCGTTTTAAAAAATGAGACAACAAAAAATTATTTTTTAAATTCAGCAAAAACGCCTAAAGTATAATTAATTACACAGACGATCTACGGGGAGGGGGGGGGGAAGGCTTTCGGGCTGAGGTCTCCTCCCAAATAGTAAAATATAACCACGTTTTATAGAAAAAAATATTAAAAAATTATCTCTTAATTACATTTAATAGGACTTCAAGAAACATTTATACATTATTCCGTATAGGTAGTTGGTGTCTTTCTTATTCTTCCAAATTAATTATCGTTATATTTGAAAAAAAAAAAAAAGCTTTCGTGCTGAAGCCCTCTTCCCCCCAAATGAAATCCTGGATCTGCTAGTGGTTAATAATATATAACAAGTTACATAATTAATTTGGTAAAAAACAGGCTTTTTTATACTAAACTTTAGGAATATATGAGTCAACTATGTCATTGATTATAAATATAGAAATTTGAATTATCATGATACCTTGAAAATTTGGCTTTTTGCCGCTTTCAGATCACTGTGCGTTATCTACACTCGTAATATTGATAAAATCTGAAAAATTTCTGACTAATCGTTATAGGAAATAGACGTCATCTTACGACAATTGAAATATGTTTTATTTTAGTTCCAAGAAAAAACTTAGTCAAAATTATTTTTAAGTTCTTAAAAACTTGAGAATACCTAATGCTTAAGGATATACATGACTAAATATAATCTCTAACAAGACGTGCACTATTTAAAGTCGATTCCCGGGAAGATGAGTCAGGATTTTTTATCTTCGATCGCTGTTATGTGTTTAAGAGAAGGATTTTCAAATTAAAGATTTTAACAACTTTTTTCTAGAACTAAAATACATTCACGATTTTATTTAAACATCTTGAATAATCTATAGATATCATCTGGAACCGGATTGATATCTGTGGCATCTGTGAAAATTGTCTTAAGTATTGAGTTAATACTTTTTTTAATTTTTTTATGGATATCAACAGAGAGATTATTTTTCTCTCATGCGGTTATTGCTGAGAATAATACTCCTTTGTGATTCATGGTTTGAAACTCAAAAATTAAGCTTGCACCTGTGAAAATTTCAAACTTTCAATTGCGTTTTTCCAAAATATGATTTTTTATTTTGTTGTAGATTCATTTTTATATTTTTCTTTTTAAATCTTGTACGTCTTTCTTTAACGGTTTATTTTAATTTTCATACTATTTAAAACCAAATAAAATAAGGAGGATATTACATATTTTGAGGATATCTACTGCCATCGTTCAAGAAAGAAAATTCATATTTACAAAAAGGCGTTTGATAGAGTTTGGCACAAGAGACTGCTGTATAAACTCCGAAAATTCCTACCATCTACATACTTTCTATCCTTTACACTGCCTATACAGCTGACATTCCAACACTGTCATTACCACCTATGCCGATGACACGTGTATCCTATCAGTTAATAATGATCCATCAATTGTATCACAGACTCTTCAATCATACATCACAAGTCTTGAAGAATGGTGTCAAAACTGGAGGATTAAAATAAATTCCAATAAATCCCATCAAATCACCTTTAATAATATCTACCTACAGTATCCTTTAATAATATCCCACTTATCCCTGTTGAACAAATTTGCTACCTAGGACTCCACCTGGACAAACGTCTAACTTGGAATGCTCATACCAGACAGAAACGACAAGAAACCGCTAGACGTTTCCGCTTACTCCAACACTTACTGGACAAACGCTCTAAACTTCAAATTAATCACAAAAGTCTCATATACATGACTACAATAAGGCCTATTTGGACTTACGGAGTTGAGCTATGGAGCTCTACCAAACCATCAAATTCCTCTCGTATCCAATCCTTGCAATCCAAAATCCTCAATGCTCCTTACTTTGTTACAAACAAAATCATCCATAATGACTTTAATGTTTCTGGTTTGGCCCAATCCAGATATCTATCCTTTCATAATAAACTTTATAACCATCCCAACCCTCTTGTTTCTAACCTTGCTTCCTCTTTAATTCCTGATAACCCTCCGAGGCGTCTGAAAAGAAGATGGCTCCGCGATTTCCTCGTGTAAAGATATTATTAGAGTGCTACCAATGGGTAGTTACTCAACATGTGTTTCATGTAATGACATTCATAATGTGTTTCATGTAATGATATCCATTGCACGAATTTACAAGATGTATTTTTTTAATCCAGTTTAATATCATAATAAACAATAAAAAAAATAAAAAATATTTACAAAACAAAATAACAACAAAAGAAGGAAAGTTTGTAATTTTTTTTAATAAACTTTTTTATATAAATGCATATGATTCTAATATAAATAGAAATTTTCTATATTACATAGAGATATTTATTTATATAAACTTTCATTCCCACGTTAGGAAAAACGAAATCCTGGATAAGCAACAAAAATTATAGCAATGAACCTTTTGCAGTTTTGAAAGGCAAAAACAATTAATTCCTTAATTTTTCATTTTACGCTATTTTCATTTTACGTGATTTTTCTATCTTTGCGAAATAAACGAAACTTTCGCGTTTAGCGTAGTACGACTATGGAGTACATCCCCAACAAAAATCAGAGAAAAAAGTTATGAAAAAAGAAAACTTCATGTCATATGCGTATGAAAAGTTTACAACACAAAAACTAGACATTTTATGATAAATTAATTTAATCAAACAGTGGATAAAGTTTCCTATTAAACCATTTTTCGTCAGAAATATGTCGATTGATTGGAATGTGAGTTTACAAATAATTTTCACGATAATAGCGGCTCACAGGATTTCTTTCATAACAAATGTCGATGATTGTGAAGAAAGAACTAATATAATTGTATTTATTCCTATTATAAGAGAGAAAAAAAATGTTTAAAATATAATTTATCGTTTTAAGAATATTACTACTCCATTCAAAAATAATGAGTAGGTTTTTAATATGTTTTAATTTATTCAATAGTTTTTAATTTTATACTGATAGAGATTTTCACTTTTACAATGAATTTATATTTTTAAAATATTAGGATGTAATTACTATTTTGTATCTATAATCTCTCTTTTTTTTTTAAATAATATTTCACAACTTAGTATGGATTTAAAGGTCTAGGAGTAGGCTCGGTCGACTAAGAACACTGTAATCGACATTCTCTGATATTTGTATCGATTTTACGTTATGTTCATAACAATACTAATAATAAAAGGCTTAGCGAACACGAAGGTTCGATGCCGACACCACCAATCGCTTATTACACACCTCCCTCCACCGTTCGCCGTCCAAACCCAGTCCCTTCAGATCGGCTTTAATGCAATCTTCCCACATTCGCTTCGGTCTACCCCTCGGACATTTACCATTCGGTACAGCAAATATTAACCTTTTAGGAATTCTCTCGTTACTAAGCCCAACAAATTTACAAGCTGATTTGATTCGCTGGGATGTAATCACCTCAATTACATTACCCGGATACAGTTCACGCAATTCGGCGTTGTGTAACCGTCTGAACTCTCCGGTTAACTCATCCTTCTTCGGTCCGAATATTCTACGCAATACTTTATTTTCAAAAACCTTAAGACGCTGCTCATCCCTTAATGTAAGCGGCCAAGTTTCGCATCCATAAAGAACTGTAGGTAAGATAATGGTTTTATAGATTCTAATTTTTAAGTTCCGGGACAAGAGGCGCGAACTAAGTAGTTTTGTCACAGAAAAATAACAAGCATTTCCCGCCTTCAGTCTAACCTTAATCTCTTCTTCAATTTCGTTTTTTCTAGTTATCGTAGAACCTAGATACCTAAATTTATCTATCTGTTCAAACATGTTCATGTTCAAAATAAACACATGAATTGGTCAGTTAGTTCAAAAAGCAGTTGCTTGACCTAGGATATTTTAATCCAAATGTAAAAATTAATCAACTGGAGTCGAATTCACCAGAACGGGGATTAAATAGCCAAGCATGGCAGCTCAGTTTCGTTTACCCGAAAAATAAATTGCTAAGCGTGCCTAAACAAGTTTTCACTCAGTAATGAATTTCGTTTAGTTAAGGCTACTACAAAATACACTAAGATATTGCCGATTCTACAGTATTCTGTTCTACAGCACCATTAAACTCACTATGAATGCTTTCCGGAGACTCTGCCGCGCTCTCGGGTTCCTGACGAAGGTGGCAGCGAACAAGATGAAGACCCCGAGCAACAAGAACAAAGCCAGGAAGCGCCTCTCCATAGGGCGTCGGGACTGAGTATGGTCGAGTGCAGGAGGCGTGACGTTATATCTCCTCTCTCGTGTATCTCAGATTTCATTTCTAGTGTTTCTCGGAATGCAACTGATATCAGCGAGAAAACTGCTCGAATTGTTTACATTTCATTGCATTATAGAGTTCATAGTTCATTCATTTCTTCAATTCCTACCCATAGAAAATATGTATTTTCTCTGATTACCATTTAAATGGAATATATACCTTCATACTTCTTGAGCTAAAGTTATGAACGTATATTATGAACATACGATTATTTCAAGAATACTATCCAATTTTTATCGTTATAAAGATTTTTCTAAAGATTATAAAGTTATAAAGATGTTTCTAAAGTTATAAAAAAAAATAAAATGTAAGTATGTAATAAAATGTAAGTATGTAATAAAATGTAAGTAATGTAATAAAAAAATAAAAAATAAAGATGTTTATAAAGATGGCCGCTTACATTAAGGGATGAGCAGCGTCTTAAGGTTTTTGAAAATAAAGTATTGCGTAGAATATTCGGACCGAAGAAGGATGAGTTAACCGGAGAGTTCAGACGGTTACACAACGCCGAATTGCGTGAGCTGTATCCGGGTAATATAATTGAGGTAATTTCATCGCGGCGAATCAAATGGGCTTGTAAAGTTGTTGGGCTTAGTAACGAGAGAATTCCTAAAAGGTTAATATGTGCGGTGCCGAATGGTAAGCGTCCAAGGGGTAGACCGAAGCGAAGGTGGGAAGATTGCATTAAAGCCGATCTGAAGGGACTGGGTTTGGACGGCGAACGGTGGAGGGAGATGTGTAATAAGCGATTGGTGGTGTTGGCATCGAACCTTCGGGTTCGCTAAGCCTTCTATTATTAGTATTGTTATGAACATAACGTAAAATCGATACAAATGTCAGAGAATGTCGATTATAGTGTTCTTAGTCGACCGAGCCTACTCTTAGACCTTTAAATCCATACTAAGTTGTGAAATATTATTTTTAAAAAAAAGAGAGATTATAGATACAAAATAGTAATTACACCCTAATATTTTAAAAATATAAATTCATTGTAAAAGTGAAAATCTCTATCAGTATAAAATTAAAAACTATTGAATAAATTAAAACATATTAAAAACCTACTCATTATTTTTGAATGGAGTAGTAATATTCTTAAAACTATAAATTATATTTTAAACATTTTTTTTTCCTCTTATAATAGGAATAAAAACAATTATATTAGTTCTTTCTCCACAATCATCGACATTTGTTTATACACGGTGGGCCAGACCCCCTTACCGTGCACCCCCCCCACATCCCTATAAATTGCATATCGTTGTGTTCCTTGTAACAATTTATTAAAAAAAAGCCAATGTTCCCACAAAAAAAAGTGAACGCACTGCCCCAAAATGGCGTCCAAAGATGGCGGATTGACGACTTTGACTTTAGTTAGTTTTTTGGTCACTGAGAATCAGCATTAAGCTTAATTTCCTCATAGTTGGTCTTTTATTAAAGCTGAATAGTTATAGAATAATAAAACATGAAGAAATATTAAAAAATAATTGGCTAAGGCTATGAAAAACACCAGTAAAGTCAATTTTTTTAACAAAAAAATTTTCAAGTTACAAATCAAGCGTCGTTTGTAATTAAACGGCCTACAATAACGCAAAACGTGCTGAAATAAACCATCTGGAGAATATATTTCTCTTTCTGAAACGCTGATTATTTTTTACAAATGTTTGAGTAGTTCCGTAAAAAATGCACTTATGCGGCAGAAAAGCGGTACTGGCGTGGGTGCCTACAGGCCTCTACCACACCATTCAGTGCCCATAAATGGCTTAGTTATAGTGATATAATAACATTTTTGGTACATTATATTGGTTTTATTAACGAACAAATATTAATGCAATAATTTAATAGTAAAAAAAAAAATTTAATTAAAAAAAAAATTTATTATTATTTTTTTAAATTTTAACCTCCTTTATTCTATACGTAGGTCGTTTAAGAATACCTCAATTGTAAAAATGGTATAATTATAATAATAAAACTTAATTAAAAAATATTTTGCTAAATATCTTGATTTTTTTTTATTTAACGTTTGCAATTTAACACTGTGTTTTGAATATTTACTGATTCTTAGAAGTAATTAAAATTTTTATATACTTCCCAGGAAATGAGTCATATTCATACCTTTTTTATAAACTAAAATAATATATACCTAATCTGAACTATATATAATGAATAGCTACCGGGTTGTTTAGTAAAACTCATATATCACTAATTAAAAAATTAATTTTTATTTCCTCTATTTTGTGCAGAAGTTGGACTATATCATAAATAAATAGGAAATTTTAATATTGAATGAATTATTCTCTATGCACAAAGAAAGATATAAAGGGTGACCCTATAAGTTCTTCTATAAACCAAAACTGATTGTTTGGATTTGATCTCAAAATGAGGAAAAACGTGAACTTAAACGAGAAAATTGGAAAAATACATTAAGCGAACGAGAAAGGAAGTGCCAAAACCTCGGAATAGATAAAAAGGACCAGTTATATCCATTATATAGCTAAATGAATGTATAGTAGATAGATGAACAGAATATTTCAAGATGCTGCTAAAACGGGATCAATTGCAGTATGGATGATATTAAGTTGACGATGTAGGTTTATTATGGTGAAAACCACTTTATTTTCGATTGCTGAAGGTGCACATCGGGACTATATTAACTTTGAAGATGAATATAGAGATGTACATCGAGAAAGTTATAGCTCATAGCTTTCCTTCTGTTTAGTGGATTTTCAAAAGATTTTTTAAGGTATCTTATATTAGTTGTAGCTCGTTATTCTTCTCGTTATTCTTGAATTGTTCGGAATTTGTACCATATCATAAAAAAATAGGAAATTTTAATATTGAATGTATTATTCTCTCTGCACAAAGAAAGATGGAAAGGGCGAAACCGAACTGCTTTGACAGTTTTGCGCGTACATAGGCAACAAGCATATTAGAAAATAATATGAAAGGACTGTGGTTTTTACCTTTACAAGAAAGGAGGTACTAGGAAATGTAATACCCATCAAGACCCATTCCTGTTTAGTGTACCAAACAAATTATACACAAGAATCGTAGAAGCTGGAATAAGAAATATTGTCGATTGCCAGAGTGATATGGATTGAGAAACTCAAGTTGCACATTGGAAGAGAAGTTGAAAATTGGGACTGTCTTCACTTTAAGGCAGGTTATAGAGAAGTCCACATAAAAAGAAAAATAGCTCTCTATCTGCTCAGTGCCTCACACTTTGGATTATGCTAATATCTAACTGTCTTTCAGAAAAACTCGTTTTCCTTTTAGATCCCTTAAAAAATCTTTTGAAAATCCACTAAACAGAAGGAAAGCTATGAGCTATAACTTTCTCGATATACCTCTCTATATCCTGCTTCAAAGTTAATATAGTCCCGATGTGCACCTTCAGCAATCGAAAATAAAGTGGTTTTCACCATAATAAACCTACATCGTCCACTTAATATCATCCAAACTGCAATTGATCCCGTTTTAGCAGCATCTTGAAATATTCTGTTCATCTATCTACTATACATTCATTTAGCTATATAATGGATACAGGTCCTTTTTATCTATTCCGAGGTTTTGGCACTTCCTTTCTCGTTCGTTTAATGTATTTTTCCAATTTTCTCGTTTAAGTTCACGTTTTTCCTCATTTTGAGATCAAATCCAAACAATCAGTTTTGGTTTATAGAAGAACTTATAGGGTCACCCTTTATATATTTCTTTGTGCATAGAGAATAATTCATTCAATATTAAAATTTCCTATTTATTTATGATATAGTCCAACTTCTGCACAAAATAAAGGAAATAAAAATTAATTTTTTAATTAGTGATATATGAGTTTTACTAAACAACCCGGTAGCTATTCATTATATATAGTTCAGATTAGGTATATATTATTTTAGTTTATAAAAAAGGTATGAATATGACTCATTTCCTGGGAAGTATATAAAAATTTTAATTACTTCTAAGAATCAGTAAATATTCAAAACACAGTGTTAAATTGCAAACGTTAAATAAAAAAAAATCAAGATATTTAGCAAAATATTTTTTAATTAAGTTTTATTATTATAATTATACCATTTTTACAATTGAGGTATTCTTAAACGACCTACGTATAGAATAAAGGAGGTTAAAATTTAAAAAAATAATAATAAATTTTTTTTTTAATTTAAATTTTTTTTTTACTATTAAATTATTGCATTAATATTTGTTCGTTAATAAAACCAATATAATGTACCAAAAATGTTATTATATCACTATAACTAAGCCATTTATGGGCACTGAATGGTGTGGTAGAGGCCTGTAGGCACCCACGCCAGTACCGCTTTTCTGCCGCATAAGTGCATTTTTTACGGAACTACTCAAACATTTGTAAAAAATAATCAGCGTTTCAGAAAGAGAAATATATTCTCCAGATGGTTTATTTCAGCACGTTTTGCGTTATTGTAGGCCGTTTAATTACAAACGACGCTTGATTTGTAACTTGAAAATTTTTTTGTTAAAAAAATTGACTTTACTGGTGTTTTTCATAGCCTTAGCCAATTATTTTTTAATATTTCTTCATGTTTTATTATTCTATAACTATTCAGCTTTAATAAAAGACCAACTATGAGGAAATTAAGCTTAATGCTGATTCTCAGTGACCAAAAAACTAACTAAAGTCAAAGTCGTCAATCCGCCATCTTTGGACGCCATTTTGGGGCAGTGCGTTCACTTTTTTTTGTGGGAACATTGGCTTTTTTTTAATAAATTGTTACAAGGAACACAACGATATGAAATTTATAGGGATGTGGGGGGGGGGTGCACGGTAAGGGGGTCTGGCCCACAGACTATTAGGCCTTCGCACTTATATTTGCTTGGTTAATATTTGCTGTACCGAATGGTAAATGTCCGAGGGGTAGACCGAAGCGAAGGTGGGAAGATTGCATTAAAGCCGATCTGAAGGGAC